ATTAACCACAAATATCTCTTATAGCTTTTTTTGGAACAAGGTTTCTATCCAAGGTTCATGTATTGTATTTGAATATCGTTTCTTTAGTCTCGTTTAACCTAGAACAGTTCCTCTAGCTTTTTTCCATAAACAACTTTTTGAAGAAACCAAATCTAGTAGGGTTCTTGTCCCCCATTCTGGATTTGTCAGACTGTTTCCTCATAGTGTCATTTAGTTTGTTTCAGGTAACATCTCTTTTAAGGAGACCTGGTGGTGCAGTGGTTAAAGTGCTCAGCTGCTAACCAAAAGGTCAGTATGCCTCTGTAAAGACTAACCTTAAAACCAAACCCATTGCTGTCGGAATTCATAGCCACCCGAGGCTCATAGCCACCCTAGACCCACAGCAACCCTAGACTCATAGCCACCCTAGACTCATAGTGACCCTAGACTCATAGTAACCCTAGGCTCATAGCCACCCTAGACTCATAGCCACCCTAGACTCATAGCAACCCTAGGCTCATAGCCACCCTAGACTCATAGTAACCCTAGACTCACAGCCACCCTAGACTTATAGCCACACTAGGCTCATAGCCACCCTAGACTCATAGCCGCCCTGTAGGACAGAGTAGAACTGCCCCATAGGGTTTCCAAGGAGCAGCTGGTGGATTCAAACTGCCCACCTTTATGGTTAGCAGCTGAGCTCTTAACCACTGCGTCACCAGGACTCCCCGCAGAGATGACAGCCTTGGAAACTCTATGGGGCAGTTCTCTAGCTATGAGTAGGAATTGATTCGATAGCAGCGGGTGTGGGATTTTTTTTTTTTTTGGTTTTAACTTCACCTTTAATATTCCAAACCAAAGAGTCAAGCCCGCATCTAAGAATATTCTTACTACCTCCACCCTAGAGTCATTCTAAGAAGTCTTCCAGATGCATACTAACATGGCAAAGGACCAGCCTTGCTTCACTGACTAACTGCAGTCAGAACTCCTGCTTCCTGAAAGACTAGGGCCCTCACGACGAGTCCTACCAGAAGCTGGTGGCTTTCTAGCGAGCCCTGGTGCTCCTGGTGGTGCAGCCACAGCTAAATGCAGCTGGAACCAGGATCTTTGCTGATGAATGAAAAGTAAATATGTCACGGTCAGTTCACATGAACGGTGCAGGAATTCCATATTTAAGAAGCTCCTTTACCTGACAAAGGCCAAAGAGGCAATTCTAAACATTCTGCATAAAGGTAATCGTATGCGAGAGTGGCATAGACAGGAAGGGTGCTGTGCTGGGAAGGGTTTCATGCCTTGTCTAGCGAGCAGTGTATGCTTATCTCTTTTTGCCACCTGTTCAGCACGGTATCCGCCTAGGTGCAGGTGCAGATATGGGTCAATGGAGTAGTCTATTTTAGCTAGGGCAAAGATATTTGTTTATTTAATGTGTTTGCATCATGAGCAAAGAGAATTCATGTGCGTTTTGAGGTGAGGGAAAAAGGGAATGAGAATGATCATTATTTTTCCAATTCCTATTACCTCTTCCCTTCTCTCAATTCGGACCAACCCCAGGAGGAGGGAAGGAGCAGAGATGAAAAGATGGAAATAATATGGGTGCTCCCAGATGTTTTCAATCTTTCAGTAGAGTATTCTAGTCTTTGAGGAGGTAACTTAAAATCCCTTTTACTTTCCCTTGCACCCAACCGAGAACTTCTTGGTGGCCTGTGACAAAAAAGTAGACTCTAAGCTTGCTTCGGAAACCCTAGTGGTGCAGTGGTTAAGAGTTCAGCTGTTAACCGAAAGGTCCACCAGACGCTACTTGGAAACCCTATGGGGCAGTTCTACCCTGTCCCATAGGGTTGCTATGAGTCGGAATTGACTCGATGGCAATGGGGTTGATTTGCTTGGGTAAGCGTCATTCAGAAGATTTTCTTGACAAAGAAAGTTGTGTAAAAAGTTCATTCCACCAGGAATTAGATGTTCCAGTTGCAGGAACTGGAACTGGATTGGCACACCCACACATGATCAAACTGCCACACTCACAGAAAAGGAGAACAGAGAGAGGAAACAAAAGAGGATGTTCTAATCTTCCATTTACTGAGAGATTAAACTTCTGAAGCTCCAAGAGTGACCAGAATCAATGCCCTTTGTTCCGCTCCACCTCAAATCTCCCATGAACTCATTTCATTAGGTTCCTGACTGATACTGCTTCCCAGCATAGTCCTGTTTCGTGTTTTAATATCCCAGGAGGTAGACCCCAGTTTCTTCCTTGAGGTACTACTTGTAAATTGAGTTCTTTTGCCCTGTAGAAAAAATTTAGAGTGCTCTAGACTAACCTTCTGCAGAATAAATAATTTTGCTATTTTTAGATATCAAGAGAGAGCTTTTGGAGCTGGAAAAAAAAAGTAAGAAATCATCTAGTACTGTCGTTGTTGCTGTGTTGTTGTGTGCTGTTGGGTCGATTCTGACTCATAGCGAGCCTATAAAGCAGTGTAGAACTGACCCATAGGGCTTCCAAGGAGCGGCTGGTGATTTGAACCGCTGACTTTTTGGTTAGCAGCTGTAGCTCTTAACCAATGCACCACCAGGGCTCCCATCTAGTACTAGTCCATGTCAGTTTTACAGATGAAGAGCCTATGCTTTCTCTGATGGAAAGTTATTCAATCCAATAGATAATACTAATACCAATAAATATGTCATTCTTTCAAGTACATTAAAGATAACTAAGCAGGTTTCATTTGTAAACCTCGATGTGAGTGAGGTCATCACATCCAGCAATACAGGATTGCTTGCTTTTTCCTAAATAAATGATACTGTTTCAGACCTCCCTACCTTTGAGCATACTGCATACTCTCCTGGAATGTTTTTCCCTCCCTTCTTCATCAAATTCCTACTTATCTTCCAAACTCACCTTTCCAGGAAGATTTTTTTCTAAACCCGTCAAATTTGTGGTTCCTCATTTGTGTTCACTTAGTATGTGTATTATGATACTTTTCATCTTGTACTGGAATAATGAACCAGATTGCACATTCCTTGAGGTCAGCAACCATGCCTTATTCAACTTTTTATCCTCCAAGATGCTCCAAGTATGGCATCTGCCTATAATAAGCTGTGAGCATGCAGGAAATATTTGATGGATCAAATCCCAAATCCCCGTTTCTTCTCAAGCATACATGTTTTACAGAAGTTCTTTAGATAGAGTTGTAAAAAGTGACTTCAGCTTTTTCGAGCCAAAAAAAAAAACAAAAACAAAAACAAAGAACCGTTGCCGTCAAGTCAACCCCATAGGGTTTCCAAGGAGTGGCTGGTGGATTTGAACTGCTGACCTTTTGGTTGGCAGCCAAGCTCTCAACCACTGAGCAAAGCAGGCCTCTTTTAGTAAATTCACTGAACTATCAGGGTCCCAGACCAAGAGACAGTCAACATAGGATTTTGCCTTTCTTTGCCACTGTTGTCAGGTTCTGTCAAGTCAAGTTTTGACTCATAGCACCCCATGTACAACAGAATGAAACATTGCCTGGTCCTGTGTCATCCTCACAATTGTTGCTATGTTTGAGCCCATTGTTGCAGCCACTGTGTCAACCCATCATGTTGAAGGTTTTCCTCTTTTTCACTGACCCTCTACTTTACAAAGCATGATTGTCCTTCTCCAGGGACTGGTCGCTCCTGATAACATGTCCAAAGTATGTTAGACAAAGTCTCGCCATCCTTGCTTCAGAGGAGCATTCTGGCTGTACTTCTTCCAGGACAGATTTGTTCAGTCTTCTGGCAGTCCATGGTATATTCAATACTCTTTGCCAACACCATAATTCAAAGGGATCAATTCTTCAGTCTTCCTTATTGATTGTCCAGCTTTCGCATGCATATGAGGCAACTGAAAACACCATGGCTTGGGTCAGGCACATCTTAGTCCTCAAAGTGACATCTTTGCTTTTTAACAATTTAAAGAGGTCCTTTGCAGCACATCTGCCCAGTGCAATACATAGTTTGATTTCTTTAATGGGCATTGATTGTGGATCTATGTAAAATGAAATCCTTTACGACTTCAATTTGAATTTGAAGTTGTCTTTGCCACTAATTACTGCTAATTGGCCAAGCCCCTTTATTCAGTTGATATTGAAGGTCTAATAGAGTCACTATGACTCAGAATCGACTCGAGAGCAACGTTTTCTTTTTACCACAGGCCAGGTACCTTACCAAGCACAAAAGTCCTGGTTGTCAAAGGTAGAGAGATAAGACAATTCACTACTTATAGTACAGTTCAGCAACGTGAGATTTATGTTACGTAAATTAGGTATCAGAATATGTATAGCGTGTTCGGTAAATCAAGGAAGAAGTTTCAGCTGATGCTGTCTGAATGCACTTCAATTGTTGAAGTAGGTGAATTAGGGAGGAGGATGCAGGTGTTAAAAATAATTTAAGCACTCTGACACACATGGCCTCACCAGGAGTGAGAGTGGACACAATGGCAATTGTTTTTTGTTTGTTTTTTAGAATTCATTTACTGCCATTAGCATCATTTATTAAACACTGAGGAGCTGCTAGTAGTAAAATTAAAAAAATTTAACCACCAAGAGATTAAAGTATGCCGTATACGGTTTATTCGAGCAGTTAATCTATGCATACAAAGAGAATTAAGAGTTCCCCCTCCCCCAGGCTGGTCACAATGACATTTTAAGGAGGAAAAGAAGAAATCGAGTATAAAATTAATCATTGGCTAATCGTAATAGCAATGTGAAGGCGCTCTGGTGGCGCAAAGGTTAAAGCGCTCCGCTGCTAACCGAAATGTCGGAGCTGGAGAAAGATGTGGCAGTCTGTTTCCGTGAAGGTTACAGCCTCGAAAACCCTATGGCGCAGTTCCACTCTGTCCCACAGGGTCGCTGTGAGTCGCAACGGACTCCAACGCTGCGGTTTTTTCTTTTTTTGTTTTTTTAATCCTAGTGGGCCTGATTGGCTCACTGGCCTCTGCGTCACGTGAGGCGCCCGGGCCACATAACCCGCGGCTTCGAGCCCCGCCTCCAGCTCCTCTCCTCGTCGCCTCTGCGCCGCCGGTTCTGTTTCTTCCGCGGCGGTCGAGCCTTCCGGATCGCCGCGCTTCCTTGCCGCCCTGGGTCGCGGACGGCGAGCCAGCGGTTGGCCTGCCAGGTAGCTGTGGGCGCGCGGCTGGCGAGTGCGGCGGGGCCGCTTCCGCCCCACCCTTTGCCTCGCTTCCCCCTCCCTGCGGCGGCGGTCCTGGGCCGCCTTCCGGACCAGTCTGGCTGTGCCCACCGCCCGGCCTGGCACTGGCCCGCTATGCCTGCACCCAGCCCGGGTCCGCGCCCGACTGCCGGCGCTGCGCCCGGGGCGGGTGGTGGGGCCGCCGGCTAGGCACGGTTAGCACCTCCGCTAATGTTTCCTCAGATGAGGAGGGAGAAGGTGGGGTAGGCTGGGGAACGTTTTCCGTTCTCTCTTTTCTTTGAGCTGCATGGACTGGTGTTCCCTCTTAGCGGAATTCTGTCACTGCTTTTGGCGCTGTTTTTCCGAGGGAAGACCTCCTCTATGGCTCTCCCGTTCCTCGCTGGCTCTTACCGAGATCTTAGCATCTTTTCCTTCGCTCCCCGGGGCTGGTGGTGTTACTGGTATTATTCCTGACTGTTTCTCTTTCCCCCATTAACACGGAATCCACACAGGGGATTCTCTCAGTAGGCGCCTTTATCCAGGACTGCGGTGAAGTGAGTGAAGTAACATTTCCCTGGTCCTGCCTCTCATAAAGGACCTGCTCTGTTTTATTTAAGATGACCAGAGGCACAGTGAGTTCTCTCATAAGTGGCCTTTATTTGCATGTGAGACATTCCCGAAGCCGCTTGCTGTAGAATTACAGTTTTGTAAAGTAAGCTCGTACACAGTGCTTAAGAACAAATTCATGGTCCTATTTGCCTTTGCCCCATTCTTTTTTTTTTGGGGGGGAGGGGTATTAAAGTCCTTGGAAGGCAAAATTTTGGGTTTCTGAAACTGGTGTATATTGTGGGCTTGTAACGTCAAAATGGCCAGGTATGTAATGCCAGAAGAAATGGAAAAATGACAACTCTTAAGATAGTTTATAGTGTATTTAAAATTTAGAGCGTATCAATTTGAAGGGAGCATTGGTGGCGCAGTGGTTATAGCGATCGACTGTTAAAGGTCAGCAGTTGGAAACCACCAGCCGCTCTGCGGGAGAAAGATTTACAGCCTCGGAAACCCTCTGGGGTCGCTATGAGTCAGAATCCACTGGATGGCAGTGGGTTTGATTTTTTTGGTTTTTGATCTGCTTTCAGGGTTGAGTATGTAACCATATATTTAGATTCTATAAATATAGCAGTTTATCTGTAGGATGGATATGTTTTAATCCACTGAGTGAATACCAGTTTGTTTATTAATACTTAGGGACAGGTCTTTAACTGCTTGCTAGTGTGTTTCTCTTGAAGAAGAAGTATATTCATCTTTAAAGGGATTTGTTCCACAGGCGATTTTTTATCTGTGTGATCCAAATAGTCAGGTTCTGGGAACTTAGAACAGATGGCCATAAAAATCAAAAGCTATCAAGCTTGCATCTTAAAAACATTTATTTTTAATTAAAAAAAATTTAAATTACCATTTTTCATTCCCACCAGCAGTGGATAAGGGTTCCAATTTTGCCACATCTTTGCCAACATTTGTTATTTTCTGTTTTTTTTTTTTTTAATCTTAGCCATCCTCATTATGCTGAGTGAATTTAGTCAGTCACAAGAGGACAGATATTGTATAAGACCACTATTATAAGGACTCAAGAAAAGGTTTAAATACAGAAGAAAACATTTTTTGATGGTTATGAGGGTGAGGAGGGAGGGAGAGGGGTATTCACTAACTAGATAGTAGACAAGAATTATCTTAGGTGAAGGGAAGTTCAGCACACAGTATAGGAGAAGTCAGCACAACTGTACTAAACCAAAGCTAAGAAGTATCCTGAATACAACCAAATACTTCGAGGGACAGAATACCAGGGGCGGAGGTCTGGGGACCATGGTTTCAGGGGACATCTAGATTAATTGGCATAACAAAGTGTATTAAGAAAACTGTCTGCATGCTACTTTGGTGAGTGGCGCCTGGGGTCTTAAAGGCTGGGGGCGAGTGGCCATCTAAGATGCATCAATTGGTCCCAACCCACCTGGAGTCAAGGAGAATGAAGAACACCAAAGTCACAGGCAAGCATTAGCCCAAGAGACAGAAAGGGCCACATAAACCAGAGACTGCAACAGCCTCAGACCAGAGGAACTAGATGGTGCCCAGCTACCACCAGTGACCGCCCTGATAGGGAACACAACAGAGAGTCCCTGTTGGAGCAGGAGAAAGGTGAGGTGCAGAACTCAAATTCTAGTAAAAAGACCGAACTTAATGGTCTGACTGAGACTGGAGGAACCCCAGAAAGCACGGCCCTAGACTCTCTGTCAGCCCAGCACTGAAACCATTCCGGAGGCCAACTCTTCAGTCAAAGATTACACTGGACTATGGGAGATAAAATGATACTTGTGAAGAGTGTGCTGCTTAGCTCAAGTAGATACATGAGACTAAATGGGCAGCTCCTGTCCAGAGGTGAGATGAGAAGGTGGAGAGAATCAGGAGCTGGTTGAATGGATACGAGAAATCGGGTAGAAAGGAGGAATGTGCTGTCACAGTATAGGGAGAGCAGTTAGCATCACATAACAATGTATGTGTAAATTTTTGTGTGAGAGACTAACTTGAATTGTAAACTTTCACTTAAAGTACAACAATAAAATAAAACTAAAAAAAAAATAAAAATCTTAGCCACCCTGTTGTTAGGTGCCCTCGAGTCAGTTCCGACTCATAGGGACCCTGTGTACAACGGAACAAAGCACTGCCAGGTCCTTTGCCATCCTCACAAGCCCTTGCTGTGGAGAGTGAAATAGTATCCCATTGTGGTTTTAATTTGCATCTCTTTAATGGCTATTGACAATGAGCACCTTTTCATGTGTTTGGTGGCCATTTGAATGTCCTCTTTGGTGAAATGTCTATTCAAGTTCTCTGCCCATTTTATTGTTGGGTGATTTGTCTTTTTGTTGTTAAGTTGTTAGAGTTTTATATATATTTTGGTTACTAGATTCTTATTGGATATATGATTTCTGAAATTCTCCCAGTTGTTAGCTTGCCTTTTCACTTTTTTGGTAAAATCTTTTGATAAAAGTATTTAATTTTTGTTAAGTCCCATTATTTATTTTGTCTTTCGCTGTTTGTGCTTTTGTTATTATATTAGATAATCCATTGTAAAAAGCTAGGCCTGACAGCCTTTAGCCTGCATTTTCTTTCTTTTTTTAATTTTATTGTTATTTATGAAAGTTTACAGCACAAGTCAGTTCTTCATTCAAAAATTTTATACACAAATTGTTTTGTGACATTAGTTGCAATCCCTGCAATGTGTCAGCCCTCTCCCCTTTCCCTTTCCACTCTGGGTTCTACATGTCCATTCGTCCAGTTTTCCTGTCCCTTCCTGCCTTCTCGTCTTTGCTTTTGGGCAGGCATTGCCCATTTGGTCTCATTGAACTAAGAAGCACCTTCCTCACATGTGTTATTGTTTGTTTTACAGGCCTGTCTAATCTTCGGCTGAAAGGTGGACTACGGGAGTGGCTTCCTAGGCTGGGGGTTCCTCCCGTCTCTGTCAGACAAGTAAGTCTGGTCTTTTTTTATGAATTTGAATTTTGTTCCACATTTTTCTCCAGCTTTGTCTGGGACCCCCTATTGTGATCCCTGTCACAGCTGTCAGTGGTGGTAGTCTGGCACAATCTAATTCTTCTGGGTTCAGGCCGGTGGAGCCTGTGGTACTTGTGGTCCACTAGTCCTCTGGACTAATATTTTCCTTATGTCTTTGGTTTTCTTCATTCTCCTTTGCTCTGGACAGGGTGGGACCAATAGGTATATCTTAGATGGCTGCTGGCAATCTTATAAGACCCCAGACACAACTCACCAAAGTCAAATATAAAACATTTTCTCTATGAATTATGTTATGCCAGTTGACTAGATGTCCCCCAAGACTATGGCCCCCAGCCCTCAGCCCCAGTAACTCAGTCCCTCAAGGTGTTTGGATATGTCTAGGAAGCTTCTATGGCTTTGCCTTGGTCAAGTTGTGCTGACTTTCCCTATACTGTGTGTTCTTTCCCTTCACCAAACTTAACACTTGTACTGTTTAGTTAGTAATTTTCCCTCCCCACCCCTCCTTTCCCAGGTAACCATCAAAGATATTTTTTTTCTGAGTGTAAACCTTTTCTTCGGTTTTTATGCTAGTGATCTTATACAGTATTTGTCCTTTTGTGAATGACTTATTTCCCTCAGAATAATGCCCTCTAGATTCATCCATGTTGTGAGATGTTTCATGGATTCATCATTGTTCTTTATTGTTGTGTAGTATTCTGTTGTGTGTATGTGCCATAGTTTTTTTATCCATTCATCTGTTGATGAGCACTTAGGTTGTTTCCATCTTTTTGCTTTTGTGAATAATGCTGCAGTGAACATGGGTGTGCATATGTCTGTTTGTGTGGCGGCTCTTATTTCTCCAGGATATATTCCTAGGAATGGGATAGCTGGATTGTATGGTATTTCTATTTTTAGCTTTTTAAGGAGTTGCCATATCATTTTCCATAGTGGTTGTACCACTTCACATTCCCACCAATAGTGCATAACAATCCCATCTCACCACCTCTCCCACATTTGTTATTTTCTGTTTTTTTTGATTAGTGCCAGTAGTGTTGGGGTGTGATGGTATATTAGTCCTCTAATGCTGCTATAACAGAAATACCACAAGTGGATGATTTTAACAAAGAAGTTTATTCTCTTACAGTTCAGTAGGCTACCAGTCCAAGTTCAGGGCATCAGCTCCAAGGGAATGCTTTCTCCATTGGCTCCGGAGGAAGGTCCATGTCATCAACCTTCCCTTGGTCTGGGAGCTTCTCTGCACAGGAACCTCAGGTCCAAAGGACGTGCTCTGCTCCCAGCACTGCTTTCTTGGTGGTATGAGGTTCCCATGTGTCTCTGCTGGCTTCTCTCTTTTATATCTAAAAAGAGATTGCATTAAGACACTAATCTTGTCAACCTCGTCAGTATAACCTCATCACAGTGATAGAATTTACAACACATGAAGAGATTGCATATAATCTCATCATAGTGGTAGAGTTTACAACACATAAGGAAATCACATCAGATAACAGTCATACAGTACTGGGAATCATGACCTAGCCAAGTTGCTGCACACATTTTTTGGGGGACACAATTCAGTCCATGACGGGCTATTATAAATGGTACTGTTTTCCTGATTTCCTTTTCGAAGTTCTCTTTGTTGGTGTATAGGGATCCAACTGATTTTTGTATGTTGATCTTGTATCCTGCTACTCTGCTGAATCTTCCTATTAGTTCTGGTAGTTTTCTTATAGAATCTTTGGGGTTCCCTATGTACACGATCATATCATCTGTGGATAGGGATAGTTTTACTTTTCTAATTTGGATGCCCTTTATTTCTTTTTCTTGCCTTATTGCTGTAGCTAGGACTTCCAGCGCAATGTTAAATAGGAGTGGTGATAAAGGGCGTCCTTGTCTTGTTCCTGTTCTCGGGGGAATGCTTCCAGCATTGCTCCATTGAGGATTGTGTTGGCTGTTGGTTTTGTATAGATGCCTTTTATTATGTTGAGGAATTTCCCTTCTATTCCTGTTTTATTGAGAGTTTTTGTCAGGAATAGGTGTTGGACTTTATTAAATGCTTTTTCTGTGTTGGTTGAGATGATCATGTGATTCTTTTCTTTTGTTGTCTTTATGTGGTAGATTACGTTGATTGATTTTCTAATGTCAAACCATGCTTGCATACCTGTTATGAATACCACTTGGTCGTGGTGTATTATTATGTTTTTATATGATCCTGAATTCTATTGGCTAGAATTTTGTTGAGAATTTTTGCATCTATATTCATGAGAGATACTGGTCTGTAATTTTCTTTTTTTGTGGTGTGTTTGGCTTTGATGTCAGGGTTATGCTGGCTTCATGGAATGAATTTGGTAGTATTCCTTCCTTTTCTGTGCTTTGAAATAGTTTAATTAGTTCTGGTGTGAGCTCTTCTCTAAATATTTGGTAGAATTCTTCATTGAAGCTGTCTGGGCCATGACTTTTTTTTGTTTGTTTGTGTGGGAGTTTTCTTTTAATTGCCTCTTCAATCTCTTCTATTGTTCAGATTTTCTATCTCTGCTTGTGTTAGTTTAGGTAGGTAGTGTGTTTCTAAAAATTTGTCCATTTCCTCTGGGTTCTCAAATTTGTTGGATACAGTTTTTCATAGTATTCTGTTATGATCCTTTTTATTTCAGTTGGGTCTGTTGTAATGTCTCCCATCTCATTTCTTATGTGGGTTATTTGCTTCCTTCTACTTTTTTTTCTTTTATCAGTTTGGCCAACAGTTTGTCGATTTTGTTGATCTTTTCAAAGAACCAACTTTTGCTCTTGTTGATTCTTTCTTTTGTTTTTCTGTTCTCTGTTTCATTTATTTGTGCAATAATCTTCATTGTTCCCTTTCTTCTGTTGGCTTTGGGTCTCTTTTTCTGCTCTCTTTCTATTTGTTCAAGTTTTAGGGCTAAGTTTTGATTTTGGCTCATTCTTTTTTGATGTGTGCTTTTATTGCTATAAATTGACCTCTGAGCACTGCCTTTGCTGTGTCCCAGAGGTTTTTGTATGATGTATTTTCATTCTCATTTGGTTCTAGGAATTTTTTAATTCTCTTTGATTTCTTCTGTAACTCAGTTGTTTTTAAGCAAAGTGTTATTTAGTTTCCATGTATTTGATTTTTTCCTCATTCTTCCTGTTACTGATTTCTACTTTTACAGCATTGTGATCAGAGAGAAAGCTGTGTATTATTTTGATGTTTTGGATTTTATTGAGGGTTGCTTTGTGGCCTAAAATGTGGTCTATTCTGGAGAATGTTCCATGTGCATTTGAAAGAATGTGTACTTTGCACCTGTTAGGTGTTCTATATATGTCTGTGAGGTAGTTGGTTGATTTTGACCTTCATATCTTCTGTATCTTTGCTGAGTTTCTTTCTAGATGTTCTGTTCTTTACCAAGAGCAGTGTGTTGAAGTTTCTTACTATTATTGTGGAACTATTTGTCTTTTCAGTGCTGCTAGAGTTTGTTTTATGTATTTTGGAGCCCTGTCATTGGGTGTGTCAATATTAAGGTTATGTCTTTGTGGATTTTCCCTTTTATCATTGTATAATCTCCTTCCTTGTCTTTTATGGTTGATTTTCCTGAAAGTCTGTTTTATCTTAGATTAATACCATTCCTGCCCTTTTTTGGTTACTGTTTGGTTGATATGTTTTTTTCCATCCTTTGATTTTTAATATATTTATGTCTTTATGTCTAAGGTGTGTCTCTTGTACACAGCATATTGATGAGTCATGCTTTTTTATCCATTCTGCCGCTCTTTGTCTCTTTACAGGTGTAATTAAGCTATTTATATTCAGTGTGATTATCAATATGTATGAGTTTATTGCTGTCATATTGTGCTTTTTTTTTGTGGTGCAGACGTTTTCTTTGTTCCTCTTACTTTCCTGTGCTGAGTTCCTTTCGCTTGTGGATTTTCTTTTGCTTTTATAGATTTTGTGTTTGCTGAGACTTTATGTTTTTCTTTTTTATTCTAATGAGTTGGTTGGTTAACTTTCTTTGTGGTTACCTTGAAGTTTGTGGTTCCTAAGTTTGAACCAATCTTTTATTACTTGATATCACCTTGACTTCGTCTCCATTTGAAAGTTGTATACCTGTACCGTTTATTCCACCTTTTATTGTTTTACATTGTAATTTTATTGTTTTATTGTCATCATTTACAGATTGATGTCTCTGTTTCCTTGTTTTAAGTCTTCTGGCTTTGTTTTATTATTGAGAGTTCTTTACCTAGGTTGGTATCTAGTGATGCTTCCTGTGTTCTAGACTCTGATGTTGTTGGTTCTCTAACTGAAGAACTCCATTTAATATTTCTTGCTTGTTTGGTTTGGTTTTTGTGAAATCCCTTAATTTCTGTTTCTAGAAATATCCTAATTTCACTAGGACATTTGAGATAGAGTTTTGTAAGATACATTATTTTTGGTAGGCAGTTTTTTTTCTTTCAGTGTTTTATATATGTCATCCCATTGCCTTCTTGCCTGCATAGTTTCTTCTGAATAATCATTGTTGAGTCATATTGTTTCCCCTTTGTAAGTGACTTTTCGTTTTTTTCTTGAGCTGCTCTCAGGATTCTTTCTTTGTCTTTAGTTTTGGCAAATGTGATTATATCTTGGTGACTTTCTTTTGGGGTCTGTCCTATATGGGTTTGTTGGCGTTGAGCTTCTTGGATGATCACATTTTTGGCTTTCATGATATTTGGAAAGTTTTGTGCCAGCAAATTTTCAGCCGTCTTCTCTGTTTTTTCCATTTTATCCCCCTGTTCTGGAACTTCAGTCACACTTAAATTCTTGCTTTTGATTGTGTCTCTCATAATTCTTAGGTTTTCTTTTCTCTGATTTTTCCTCAAAGTAATGTTCATGTATTTGTCTTCAATTTCACTGATTCTGTCTTCCATTGTTTTAAATTTGTTCCTTAAACCTGCTATTGAATTGTCCATTTCTGAAATTTTGTTGTTTATCTTTTGGATTTCTAGTGGTGGTT